CAATCCCCCCCCCCCCGGCTTTGCTGCCATTGGCTGGAAGCTCACCGCAGTGTTTGGCTCAATGAGGCGGTGCTGAAGCTTCTGGGCATCTTCCCATTGCCCCGTGAGGTAGAGTCGCTCCAGTTGGCACAACTGAGCCCCCAGGACGTTGGCCAGGGCACACACGCCCCCCACAGCTCCTGTCCCAGAGAAAGATGCAGAACATCAGCCAGAACCTCTTCCCACAGAGAATCCCAAACCCCGGTCTCCAGCACCTCTTCATTCCAGGGACATAGGATGTGGATTTCTATGCATTTCAAACTTGCACAGAGTGCAAGTTGCCAGAGAGAAAATCTGCCTGTGTATTTAAAATAGAATCCAGCAAGCCAAGTGCTGCTCAGAGCTGTTCTGTGACAGACAAGGAGCAGAGCCTCAAGGTGAACTCAAGGACAGTTCCTTCTCTGTACACCTCCCAGGGTAAAGTCCCACCTGCCAGGTGACAGCTCCAGTGATTCTCTAATAGCCCCCTGACTCATCAGTCCTGGAAGGGGTAGAGTGGATGGGAGGCCTTTGCTCTACTGAAATCGTATTGCCCCCCAGTGAATTCAATCTGGGACCAGCTATAGGGTGGAAAAAGCTCTGGACACACTCAGTAGACCAGGCTCCCATCAACTGCATGAACTTGGGCAAGTCACAGACCCTCTATAGTCTTTGTTCTCATCTTGGCAATGAAAGTGGGTGGCTGTGATCTCAGAAAGCTCTGCCACTTCTGCAAGCCTATAAGTGTGATTCTAAGGCTAGTTAGGAGTGATCTAAGCACAGTGGCCTCAAAACTGGAGAGAAAGAAGAAAATTTGGAATGAGTTGATAATAGCTGCCATTTATATAATACCTGCTATATGCCAGGCACTGTGGTAGACACAGTGCCGATGCTGTCTAATCCTCATATTACCTCTGCTTTATAGAGTAGAAACTCAGGCCCAGAGTAGCTGAGTGTCCTGCCATTGCTAATCAGTGAATAAATGGCTGAGCTGAGATTCCAGCTCAGATCCCCTGGCCTCCAGAGCCTGTGCCCTTTCCAAATACCCCACTCTCAGGATACGAGGCAGAAATGGGTCCTCTCTTCTTCCCCTGCACTGTAGAGACTATGACATAGCACAGCTGGAAAAATCCCTCAAATCTGGACTCACTGGGGCTTCGGCCAAAGGGACAAGATGCTTGATGCTTCCCTCCTTATCTCTCCCCTCCAGCGCTTAAATCCACTCAGAAACCCAGGATCTTGACCCAAAACAGACCAGAGCAGTTGGTCTAAGTGACATTCCCAGGACCCTGGACTGAAACAGAATCTGAACAAGCAGCTGAAGATCCCTGGTCCACCACTGCAGGTCTGACAATTCATTCTGGCTTGGGACCAGGAGAGGAGGAAAACAGACTTCTGAACTAGAAGGGAGGGCCCCGAGGTCTCTGCGCTCAGAGAACGATTTACGAGGTGAGATTAGTGGAGCTAAATTTGTCATCTAAACATGGAACTTGGGACTTAGAACAAACTGCAGGCATTCCTACTACAGGCCAGGCATTGTATGTGGCCACCCTCCTCCACCCAACAAGGTCACTCACAAGCACCCAGTATTCAGACAAGCAAACAGGGTGGCCAGGTTTCTGAAGTTCAGAACAGGCAGGCTGGCAAACTGCCCTTGGCAGACCCAGCCTTGACCCTCACGGTCTCTCCCAGCAGACCCAGCTGCCTGGGTTAATCTTGGTCACCCATGACAGTCTGAGAGCAGCAGGCAGCCTACCCAAGGCATAGCTGGCCAGCAGGAAGCCAGCCGATCCAGCCAACACCTGGAAATCCTTCTTCCTCGTCTTGTGGACAATCAGCCCGATCCTGGTCACCTGCAACAGCAAACGTTGTGTGAAAGCTGGGCTCAGAGCCTCAGCTGCCAGCCCAGACAAGGGCTGGACACATGCTATAGAATGACAGCCCAGTTTCCAGAGAGATGCACTAAAGTTCAGACAAAGCCCCAGAAAGCCAACATGACAGAGAACCCGAACAGGAGCCCAGGACTGAAATGGATCTCAGAGCTGCCCTGCAGTCGGCAGTCAAATTGCTAGAGGCTAGAGAAGGAGGGCCAGCCTGGGAGCTGCTGCCACTCACATCCCCACTGCTGTCCTTCATGCCCACGATATTCGGGTGCTGGGAAAGTGTGACCACCGCATCCACAGGCAGGTCCAGCCCGGTGTTGGCTGGGACACTGTATAGCACCACAGGGATTGGAGAGAGATCGGCAACCTGAGGGGCACAAAGAAAAGGGGAGGAGAGCAGCTGGCCCAGGTCCTAGAGCCAGAGACTCACCCAGCAACAGGTCCTGGCCTGTGTCACTGCAGGGCTGCTGGACAGGCTGCATCCTTAATTACAAGCCACCAGTGCTACGTACCCTGACTGTAAGCAGTAACAATGGGTAATGTTTATTGAGTGCTTTCTATGTGCCAGGCACAATTCTAAGCCCTTTATGTTCTTTTTTTGTTTTAAAAAAAAGATGACAAGTAAGGGGATCTTAACCCTTGACTTGGTGTCGTCAGCACCACGCTCTCCCCAGTGAGCTAACCGGCCATCCCTATATGGGGATCCGAACCCGTGGCCTTGGTGTTATCAGCACCACACTCTCCCGAGTGAGCCACGGGCTGGCCCCATCCCTTTATGTTCTTGATCTCACTTAATCCTCGCAACAACCCTATCAGGTAGATACCATTATCCCTCCCATTTTAGAGGGGAGGAAACAATGATGCGGAGTGGTTAGGTAAGTTGTGCAATGTCACAGAGCTGGCACGTGGTGGCGTGCCACCATTTCCTATAGCTGCCATTCATGTAAAGTAGGCTCACCACTCCACTCTCAGTTTCTCTCGTCTCCTCTGCCTGGGTAGAGCTTCTGCCCTGCCAGCCTCCTCTGGATCCCAGGCCTCACACCCACCTTGGTGTAGTGGTGAATGAGGGCCGCACTGCTCATACGGCCACGATAGTAACAAGGGGTCACCACCAGGGCAGCATCAGCACCGATCTGGGCCATGCTGACCGTCATCTCCACCGTGGCTTGGGTGGCTGCAGGAGGAAAGAGGAGTGAGAGAAGGAGGTGCCTCAGCATGTCCCAGAAGAGGCAGAACAAGCAGGGAGACCCGAGCCCAGGGCCAAGGAACCTGGACCCTCACACCCAGCCACCCCCAGGCCCAGGGGCTGGCCTCACACTCGCAGCCGGAGCCGGCTATCAGGAGCTTGTCCTTGGGCATGGCCTGGCGCGCACGGCTCACCACCTCCAGGCGCTCACCACTGGTCAGGAAGGGGAACTCGCCACTGGAGCCCTGGACCACGAAGCCTGCAACAGATGCCCCATCACAGCCTACTGACACCTTCTCACCCTCTTATAAACAACCAGGACATGTGGTGTCCAACACTAACCCAGTTCCTACCTCCCCAACACCATAGTTTTCACACATTTCCTTCCCATCCTTGTCCTGATGCAGGCAGGATGTTTTGTTTTGTTTTGTTTTGTTTCTTTTAAAGATGACCGGCAAGGGGATCTTAACCCTTGGCTTGGTGTTGTCAGCACCACGCTCAGCCAGTGAGCCACGGGCCATCCCTATATGGGATCCAAACCCGTGGCCTTGGTGTTATCAGCACCGCACTCTACCGAGTGAGCCACAGGCCGGCCCCAGGCAGGATGTTTTTACCCAGGAGCAATGACAGCTTTCACTTCATTTTTCTTTAGAGGAGACAGCTTTCACTTTCATTTTCTTTAATTGTACTGAAAAGAGTAGATAATAATATAATCCACATCCTATGTACCCAGCACCCACAGCAACCCCCCCATCACCTTCCTCTTCCTTGGCTCTCTGTCCTGACTCATGTGTTTATCATTCCCATTCATGTTGCTATACATTTAAGACATACATACAGACCGATGAACAAGATATAATAGGGTTTGTGCAATTTTAAGCTTTGTAGAAATGGAATCAAGCTTATGTAACCTTCTGCGGTTTGTTGTTTAACATTATGTTTTGAGTTTTGTCTGTAGCTGCACATGTAGCCCTGATTTGTTCATTTTAATTGCTGTATATGGTTAGACCACAATTTATATTTCATTCTCTTGTTGGGACATTTAGAATGTTTTCTTCTGTTTGTTACTGCAAACAATATGAAAACAAACATTTTCTGTAAAGCCTTCTGTGCATGTGTCTAAGAGATCCTCTAGAGTTTGGATACTTAGGTGTGTAATTGCTGAGTCGTTTCTACGTGCATCTTCACGTGTGCCACGTTTCTCATCAATCAGTGTACACTCCATCAGCAGCACGGAGTCTGTTATCGTTCATCTGTGCCAACTCTTGGTACTGTCAGAACTAATTTTTGCCAGTTTTCTGAGTGAAAAGTGATACCTCATTGTTTTATTTTGCATTTTCCTGTTCTTTTTTTTTTAAAGATGACTGGTAAGGGGATCACAACCCTTGGCTTGGCGTTGTCAGCACCACGTTCAGCCAGTGAGCGAACCGGCCATCCCTATATAGGATCCGAACCCATGGCGTTGGTATTATCAGCACCACACTCTCCCGAATGAGTCACGGGCTGGCCCGCATTTTCCTGTTCTATTAATCATTTATTTGAGAGATTTCTAACATGTACCAGTTACAGGTGTCAACCCTTTTGTTTCTATGAGACTGGCAGAATTGACACTCTTCAGCTGAAGAGGGACACAGAGACATGTCAGTAAAATCATTTTCCTCTCAAGAATTTTTCGTTTGACTTTCCCTTTCCTCTCCTTTCTCCTTACCACCACATTCCATTGGAAAACAGGTGAAGTAGTTTACAAATACAGTATACACTACAACAGGACTATTAGTAAATAGGATATTTGAGAGAAGGAAAAGAAATTAAAGCCAGAAGCACTATTGGTACAGAAAACCCCGGCACACAGTTGTGAGCGATGGGCTGTAAATGTGATGGAGCTTCCCGACAGTCAAAGCCAAAAGGGAAACGTGGTCAGCTAGCAGATATGTAGAACCCAGAAGATAAAAGCAAAACAGCTGCCCTGGAGAAACACAGAGTTTCCTGGCACTGGGACCAAGAGAAATTGTTCCTGTGAGTCATCCTTAAGGGGACACAGAGTGATGTCGGCCCAGCTTTACACATACACCTTTTCCATGTTGTTCACTACACCATTAGATTCCACTGAGTGAGCTGCCAGGATATGTCTCACTGGGTATTTAGATTTTTTTCTACTAGTTTTTTGCCTTGCAGGGAACATCTTGAGGCAAATAGCTTTTGGCTTCTGTTGAATTGGACTAGAAGCCAAAAGTAGGGGCCTTCTTGTGTGTGGCTACATAAGGCCTCTGTGCCTTTTTCCATTTGCAAAAGCTGCCAGCCCTGGATGAGAGCTCCAATCTAGCCATGAGGGACCAGCACCCTTTGACTAAGGATTTAGAGACCAAGTTCTTGCTACTCCCTGTATTCGAATGTTAAAGACATCTTCCTCCCCACCCTGCCTGCCACCCTTGGCTGGGGTGGGTTCTTGCTATGGTCACTGATTCAGCCACAGTCACTTTCTCCTAAGCCATTCTTCATCCTGGTGGTCAGTTGCAGAGGCCCCTCCTCCCTGGGCCCCAAGTGGACCCGGCCTAAGCAACAGGACAGCTGGGTCTTGCACTCTGGAGGCAGAAGCAGGCCCCTGTGCTCAAGACGCGCACGGCACAGCCCTGTCTCCTGTCTCATTAGCGGGGTATCTGACCTAGGCCTGAGTCCTAAGAAGGAAGAAATGCCAGGCTGGGGAAGTGGGAGTGTGGTGTGGTTGGGGGAGCACTGGACTCTAGAGCCCCCTCTGGCTACTGAGCAAGCCACATCACATCTGAGCCTCCATCTCTTTTCTATGGGATAACAGTGAAATCATTTTAATCCTCCTTTTTAGGGCTGTTTGAAAGACTCAGGTAAGAAATGTACAAGAAAGCACTTTGAAATATGTGAACCGAGGGCCGGCCCATGGCTCACTCAGGAGAGTGCAGTTCTGATAACACCAAGGACACAGGTTTGGATCCTATATAGGGATGGCCGGTTCGCTCACTGGCCGAGCATGATTCTGATAACACCAAGTCAAGGGTTAAGATCCCCTTACCGGTCATCTTTTTTTAAAAAAAAAGAAAAAGAAATCTGTAAACTGATATTGTGAAGAGTCCCCTCCTTCACCCTGCCTAGATGTACAGTTTCAGGCCTGATGTGCCTCTGCTAGTGTAGAGAGGGGGCCAGAGGAGAGGAAAAGGCCAGGTTGCCAATGGATCGAGGAGTGAGGAAAGAGAGTGGCGGAGAAGCAGGGAGGCAGTGCAGTAGAGTGGTCAGATGCACGGGCTCTGAAGTCAGAGAAGCCCGAGACTGACTCTCAGAGTGACCCTCTCACCAGCTATGAGATCTCGAGGAAATGGCTTAACCAAACCTCAGCTTCCTCAAATGAAAAATGGGGATGATATTAGTACCTTTCTCAAAAAGTTGTTTTGAAGTTTAAATGATATGCTATTTTAAAAGTACTTAGAATAGAACCTAGTGCTCAATAAGTGTTAGCTGTAATTTTATGAAGTCAAGAGAAAGTGCTCAAGCCTTAAATCAGGAGGGTAATTGCCTCTGGAAAGAAGGCTGCATTCTATTACCTCTTAGCACCAGATGTAAGATGAAAGAAGCTCACTCTACTCTCCCTGGCCCCCGTGGGTATGTTGGCTGCTCTGAGGAGCTAGGATAGCCTGGGAAGGGGAATAAGTGAGTGGGACTGGGGACATACAAGCAACATGGTGACTCACTGTGGCCAAAAGGAATCATTATCTCTTTCACATATGGAGTATCCCCGGTCACTGTTATATATACCCTCTTGGTCCATTGTCATTGACACCTACTCTGAGAAGTCTTCCTGGGATCCCTCCACTGGATCTCTGTCCTCTGGATTTCCATTACCTGTTCCTCATACTTCCCCGTTGCCTATTCCCCATTGCACTCCCACCCCCACCTGTGGGATTAGGCAAAATGCATCAATCTGGTCTCTCTTATAAAATGAGAAATTGAGGATGGTCTCCAAAGTCTTCCCTGGCTCTAAGTCACTTTTCTGGCTTTTTCTCCTACCGTTTGCTTGTCCCTTCAGTGAAACCGACTGTCAAGCTTCCCCCAGACACACTCCCATTTTCCTGCCCCCACACCTTTGCTCGCACCATTCCCCTCTGCCTGGAAGCGAGAGGGCCACCAAGCCTTTCCTCGGTCCCTTCCCCTCCCCTTTTGGGCTCCACAGGCTTCGCTCTCCTGGCCTAGCGCTTGTCTTACTGTGCCGGGAATCATCAAGGTTAGGGAAGTGGCTTCCTTCAGGACACCTAGCACAGTACCTGCTGAGGTGTTTGGGTTGACAATTCATCGTGTAAAAGAAAAATTGTCTGAAACCTGGTCTGGAGCAAAAGGCTTTTGCATGATATAATTCATGACCTCCCTCTGGGAAGAAATTAGCATTCCTGATAAAATGCTTAAGCAATTTCCTGATGAACTCTAATGGAATTAAGCCTTGGGCTGGGAAACCAGCAACCCGCCCAGCTGACTCTCAGGCGGGAGTTTGGTGGCTGTTAACTGCCCGTCTTTCTATCTAGTTTAACAGTGATCTCTTTTCTAATAAAAATGTCCTTAGTTGGCTGCTGAGACGCCATTTTGCTCTCAGCACAACTGTAATAAAATTTGACACGCACTCGTAAGTACCTTGTCTGAAACATTTTTTTTAGCTTTAAATTTTGAAGTACTTTTAGACTTACAGAAAAGTTGCAAAAATAATACAGGTAATTTCTATACATCTCTCACCCAGCCTCTATCAATGATAACATCTTACCTACCTACAGTTCAATGATCAGAACCAGAGAATTGACAATACCACCAACTAAAGACTTTATTTGAATTTTGCCAGTTGGAAACTTTTTTTAAAGTTAAGATTCCAAAGCTGTAATTAGCTAATCTGAAATTTCATATAATGACTTTAGTAACGGGTTTAAGATCTTCCAGATATGTGCGTGCATTTTAACAATCACTTTCAGAAGCCAAACCTTATCACTCTCTTGCCTTTTGTCTAATAAGCAGCCTTTGATATCTTTCCATTGTGTTTGACCCTACTTCTTTCCAGCTAATACTTTTATTATGAAAGATTTTAAATATACAAATAAATACATCTATCAAAATTTATAGGGCCAGCCTCGTGACTCACTTGGGAGAGCATGGTGCTGACAACACCAAGTCAAGGGTTAAGATCCCCTTATCGGTCATCTTTTAAAAAAAAATTTATATAAAGTCACTTATTAGTAATAAAAAAATAAATTCAAATACTCCCAAGTGTGCTCTATAAAAATCAGTTGACAACATTAAGGGTGTTGACGGATTTACCCACCCTTTGTGCTAATTCTGAGGCCCACAGGTTGGGAACCACTGGTAAATCCATAATAAATCCAAATGGTAAGAAATTTCTATGTCAAAGAGTCACTTGGAGTTAGTGCCTTATAACTGACTCTTCTAGAGTTTCATGGGGGGGCAGCTGCCTCCCTTTACCTGCCTGACTAGGGGGACACCTGTTGTCCCAGAAGTGGCTTCTTAGGACACAGGAAGAGGAGGCAGGGAGAGTCCCAGACTTGCAGGAGCACAGAGAAAGTGTCAGGACATGTGGGAAAAGGTCAGAAATAAGCATGAGGGCTAGCTGGTTAGCTCAGTTGGTTAGAGCGCAGCCTTTTAAGATCAAGGTCACAGGTTCAAAAAAAAGGAAAGAAAGAAGCATGAGAGATCTGCTTATCCCTTCTAGGGATGGTGGAGAGGGGACGGGGAGGCAGCACAGGGAAGGGATTAGGGGTATGGACTTTGGAGTTAGGCAAAGCTGGGATTTAATTCTAGCAACATTACTTACTATCTACATCATCTCAGGAGAATTACATTTCTGAACCTCAGAAGCCTAGTTTGCAATATTGAGATAATGGAATACCTTTCTCATGGGGCTATGACTTAATGCTTAACATAGAGCATGGCATATACTAAAAACTGGAAAAAAAAACTCAAAAAAGAAGCTGCTAGTGGTGCTAGTAGTACTGGTAGTAGCAGCAGCAGCAGCCACAGTCACAGCCCAGCAATAGTAACATACACGAGAGTGTTGTACCAGCTCAAGAGCTGTGATGTAGGTGGGACTAAGTACTAACATGGATCCCAGTGGGCCCCGGGAACCAGATGGGGCAGGGAGAGAGAAGCACAGTGTGGAGCCACATGACTTGACAAGAAATGGACTGAGTGAGAATGGCACCGGAGGACAGGGGCCCTAAGTCCCACTTGCCTTCCTCTCTACCAAAAGCCTATTTCTCCCCACCAACCCCTGGATGCTTCCATGTGCATGCTCCCCCACATTCCCCACCCCACCCACCCCATCCCCGCTTCCCTGGCAGCCACAGATTGGTAGGTCATGAGGCCTCTGGAGGTCTCCCATCCCCAGAGCCTGAAGCCAGGGGAAGCTATTTTATAGAGTCTCAAATCAGGCCCAGTGAAAAGGCCCCAGGTCAAGGCCCACAGGCAGGGGACTGCTGAGAAGGAGCCCTCTCCCTCCACCCCTGCCCAACCCCCAGGCTGGCCGCTGAGCCCCTGGACTCAGCATGAGGGTGTACAGGGCTTTAATTGGCTCATTCCAGGCATTTGGCATCAGTGCGGGGCTCTTGGCTGCTCCTGGGATCTGCCTGTCTGTCTTCTCTCGGTGGGTCTTTGGGGGCCTCAGGGTCTGTCTCAGCTGCTTCGCTTGTTCCCAGCTCTCCCTCCATTGGGGGCCATCCTCTGTGGCAGACCCTCCTCATAGAGTTGAAGGACTGTGACCCCTGTGGGATTTTTGGCAGCAGCATCTCCCCTGGGCCACATGGGTTGCCACATAGAGAAAACATACGTGGGCCAGCCCTGCAGGGGGGAAGGGGCATCTCCACCTGTAGTTAGGTGGCTTCAAGGGAGTCATAGATCTGGTGGCTGCGGTTGGGCAGGCTGTGGCTCTGGTGGTTCTGGTGGTTTGGGTGACCTGGATGACCCTGGTGGGTCGGGTGATCTGGATGACCCTAGTGACTTGGGTGACCTGGATGACCTTGGTGGCTAGGGTGAGCTGGATGGCCATGGTGGCTTGGGTGACCTGGATAACCTTGGTAGCTAGGGTGAGCTGGATGACCCTGATGGCTCTGGTGGCCATGGTAACCATGGTCATGGAAGGTGTGTGTGTGGTTGGCACCAGCTATGGTGTTTTCCTGCTGGGCAAGGAAATTCACTTTCACCTTCATCTCCACCTCCTCCAGGGCCTTCAGCTCCTCCAGGTTGATGTCTGTGGACTCCAGGTGGCCTGAGTGCTTGTAAGCTGTGGCCTGCTGCAGTATGGAGTTAGCCAGGCACCGCCCCTTGGTGTCAATCTCCTTGGTGCAGGCAGCCACAGCAGCCCACGTGGCCTCTTCCATGGATGAGGATCTTCCAGACTCCTTGTGGGACTCTTTGATCACCGAGGACCCAGATGTCCTCTGTTTGCTGGTGAAGGACTCCCGGTGCAGAGCCGTGCCCCCTTCTCTGTGCCTGGTGCTGAAGGTCTCCACACGAATTGTGGTGCTGGCCTCTCCACTCCCACCCTCAGGCTGGGGAGCACTGCTGCTGGTGCAGGCATTGTTGGTGGGGACCAGCTTCTCTTCGGAAAAGCAGCTAAAGTGAGATTTGATCCAATTATCATTCTTTGCTTTGTGGGATTCTGGTGACTTGTCCTCCTCTGGTGCAGACTCAGAGGTGGTCTTCCTCCTCCTCTTTCTCTGAACCCACATCATAAGGCCTCCACCTCCTAGTAAGAGGGCAGTCCCCAGCACCACCTTGCATGATGGCTGCTGGATGAACTCCAAGAAGGTCTCCAGGACCCTATGCCAGGAAGGCAGAGCTAAGAGCACACTGGGAGTGGGGAGCCCAGGTGGTATGGCTCATGCTTGAAGGGGTAGGCTCCCCAAGGGTGTCTGGCAGGCAGGCCCTCTACTGTACCCTCTCTAGGATGCCCCTCCTGCCTCAGCAATGAACCCCATTGTGAGGACAACAATTGCGGGTGGGGTGGGGAGAGGTTGCATCATCCCTTATGTCTAGCCTGGCAGGCATTGCCTGAGGCCTGGGTCCTGTCTCCCACCCTGACAGCTGTCCCCACAGTCAGTAAAAGGGCAGCTTCTCCAATTCGGAGTCCTTTCTGCCTTTTGCTTATAACCCATTCTGCAACTCAGTACTTTTTAATCTTCTAGTCTTTAGTTTCTCCCCCTTCCTATCCAGTGGTCCCCAGGGGGCAGAGAACGCTGGGTCAAGCTGGCCATGGCAAAAGGACCCCCTTGGCCAGGCTGGCATCCATTCCTGGCTGCCTCAGACTGGTGTCTCCCTCTATCCAGAGCCCATCTTCGTTGCCAGTTCAGCATACTCCCTTCCCACTTGCAGCCCCAGCCCCATTATATGGCAGAGTCCTGAGGAAAGGGGCCCAGGAAGGAGCTCATTCTGGAATAACATGAGGGGGTGACAAGAGTGGGCTGAGAAGCCAGAGTGGATAGGATAGGAGATTTCACCAGGTTCCAGATCCCTGGTGCCATTCCAGGATGGGGCTGCAACCTCAAGCCTTAGTGATGCACCTGCAAACCTAGAACTTGCCCCCTGGTACATGGGCACGGTTCAGGTTGTGAGCAGGTGGGCCAGCTGGCCAGGCTCTCTGTAGGTGCAGACAGCTAAAAGCCTGACTCTTCATCTAAGCAACACCCAGGGCCCTCAGGGTAGAAACCAGCCTGAGCCACTCTACTTCCCCTCCCCCCCCCAAAGGCATCTAGCACATTAAAAAAAATGAAAAAATGTCAAAATAGTGTTGTAAAAATTGTGGTATTTTAAGCACAGTGTTATAACACCAAGGTCAAGGGTTCAGATGCTTGCACTGGCCAGCCACAAAAAAAAAAAAAATTGTGATATTTTAAAGAAAATATTTTCTTTAACAGAGTAATGGTGTTATTAAATGTCTATTACATATACAAAAATATTATATCTTATCACAAGAAACCATGGCCTGCTCTACATACTGAAGGAATAAAACACATGTGTAAAGTTTTACAGAGAACATCATCTCTCCAATCCTGCTGGAGTAGCTCTGTGATTGTCCACTAACCTCATTTGGAAATAACAATTCAAAGTCCGTCTTTGAGGTTGTTTACGGGTGTAAGTTCAGGTTCAAATGGCCTTTCTGCAACCACCCCTCCCTTCCCCCAGTCTCTGGTTCTTTTATTTAGAAAGAATATACTTTATCCAAATATTCAGTACAAATTAGCAATGCTAACAAAAATAATAAAAATTTAAAAAAAGAGTTACCCAGTTTCAGTCAATGCCTTCCAGGAGAATCTCTAACTGTTCACTGATCATCAAGGGCAGGTTCCCACTTTTACCATGTTGCAGGAGGCCCTCGCAGTGTGATGTGATGGTCCTGCCTCTGCCTCTGAGTGTTAGGCTGCAAAGTCTACCCCAGGGGCCAGGACAAGGCCAGGAAAACACAGATTTTAGAGCTAAAGTTGTTCGCTCCTTCCTTCCTGGGCATGTTGGCTGCATCCTGGGAGCAGTGGCAGGACCCTCTGGCTCAGTGTTCTCTGTGCCAGTGCCCCAGGTTTGAACTCCTTAGGAGGAATATGTTGAACCCTGTGGCAAGGAGCCTGAAGGCTCAATTCCCATTCTGAAATGAGAAACTGGATTAGAGAGGTTGGGTGATTTCTCCAAGGTCACTGAAACTAGCAGAACCAGTATTCTTTTTTTTTTTTTTTTTAAATATGACTGGTAAGGGGATCTTAACCCCTGACTTGGTGTTGTCAGCATCACGCTCAGCCAGTGAGCGAACCAGCCATCCCTATATAGGATCCAAACCCGTGGCCTTGGTGTTATCAGCACCACACTCTCCCAAGTGAGCCACGGGCCAGCCCTAGAACCAGTATTCTTACCTGGGTCTCTAAATCCGGATGCTGGATTCTTTCTTCCACAGCCCACTGCCTCCATGGTGTGTGGATAGGAGAGAGAGCAGATGGGAGCGGAAGCCTGCCTGGGTTGCCACGTGTGGCCCACGGCCTGCCAAGTCCACCGAAGCCTGAGCTCCTGGGCACCCCATGCCCTCTGCAGGAGTGGGTGTGTGGGACAAAAAAGTCTGAGGGTCTCTGCAGATTCTCTGGGTTGCAGGCAGAGCCCACTCTCACCACCCCTGAACTAGAGTGTCCTTGAACCTTGAAGCTGAAGCAGAGTCTTCTCTCAGAGGTTCAAGCAGCTTTTCATTCTGCTTCAAGGGAACCAGGTCTCTGCCCAAACCTGTGGGCCCCTATGAACCTAGCCACAGCAGAAACTTACTTAGAGCTGTGTCCCTGCTCAATGTGGGTGTCCACAGGGCATTCACTGTCACTCAGCACTAAGCTATGGATGGGGTCTCAGTGGGGCCAATGGTCCCTCTCACAAAGTGGCTTTGCCACAAAGCCAACCACAGTCATTTTAATAATTATTATCATTGAGATCAATACCTTTGAGTGTATGTCACTCTACAGTTTATAGCATGATTTCACTTGCAGTCTCTCGGATTTTTCTCCCAACGATCCAATGATAGGGGCATTATCACTCCCATGTGCCAAATGGGGAAACTGAGGTTTAGAGAGTTATCCCACAATAAGTCAGTGGCAGAGCTGTGGTTTTTTTTTTGTTTGTTTGTTTTTTATTTTGTCTTTTTCCGTGTCCGGCAACGGATCGCAACCCTCAGTGTTGCCCCCGTACCGGACCGGGGACCGGCAACGGGATTGCAACCCTCGGTGTTGCTCCCACGCCTCGCTCAGCCAGTGAGCGGGAACCGGTCTGTATGTGGGATCCGAACCCTCGGGCGGGAGCGCCGCCGCGCTTCCCAAGCGGCGCACTATCCAGTGCGCCACCGGGCTGGCCCAGAGCTGTGGTTTGAAACCAGAGTCCAGGGCTGGCCCATGGCTCACTCGGGAGAGTGTGGTGCTGATAACAAGGCCGTGGGTTCGGATCCTATATAGGGATGGCTGGTTCGCTCACTGGCTGAGAGTGGTGCTGACAACACCAAGTCAAGGGTTAAGATCTCCTTACCGGTCATCTTTAAAAAAAAAAAAAGAAAGAAACCAGAGTCCATGGTCTTAACTGCTACACTGCACTGCCTCTGTCAGAGCCACACTGTTCCCAAAGCTGGGACCAGCCAGTTAGATGCTATTTATTGAATAGTATGGTCTAGCAACTCAGAGGGTATAATGAGAGTCAGCAAGTGAAGTGAAGCGGAGCATGAGCCGTGCAGTCAGACCTGAGTTCAAATCTCAGCTCGGCCAAGTCTTAGTTGAGTGACCTCGGGCAAGTAGCCATTGCACTGAGCCCCAGATTCCCATCTGTAAGATGGTGCTGTTGAGAGCACTACCTCAGGACACTGCCACAGTGGTGGACAAGGGCTGTCAGGGCAAGGCAGGTGGATTTGCTATTTTCTTCTATCTTCAGTTATTGCACCTGTGCTAGTGTTGCATGTTGAGTGTCACAAATGTGATCTTATCCCTGACCTCAGAGAGGGGGAGAGCCGTGTGTAAAGAGGGAGATGAGCCAGAGAAGCCAGAACAGGGAGAGTTAATTCTGCTGAGGGAGGCTTTGCCCAGAGAGAGTGCGCAAACAGGCTTTGAGGGAAACAAGACTGCTGACTGGACCATCGCATGACCCATCTGCAGGGTTCCTAGCTGACCAGACTTTCACACCATTATCCAGTTTGAGCCCCACTGTAATGCTGGGAGCTAAGAAGGCTCTTTAGCAGTTTACAACTGCAGAAACTGAGGCAGGTGAGGTTTGGTCCAAGGTCACAGGCCAACAGGGAGCTTCCCGTCAGTTTCCTGACTCCAGGTCAGTGCCCCCCGTTCCTCTCCCATAATGAAATGACCTGCAGGGTACGAGACTATCCCCGAGCAGCTTGACAGAGCCCAGGTACCCTACCCTGATTTCTGGCTGAAGAGAATGGGGTCATTCACAACTCCCTGATTCCCCTGGTGGCCAGGTCCCACTTACCTCGGAAGGGGAAGGTGCCCAGTTTGTGCAGATTCTCCTCCAGTTTCCCATAGTCCACCTCTGCAGTGGCAGTGAAGGGGGTGGTCACAGGAGGGTAGATGCCTGCGATGTCCACCTTCTTCCCCGCCCCTGAGGCCCAGCCCCTCATGTTCCTGGACAAGCCCCTGCTCAGTCCCTGCCTCACAGAAGACCAGACCCGAGGGCCTAGCATCTCTGCGGGAGGCCTGAGGCCCAGCTGGTCTGTGCCCCAGAGGGAGGCTGAGCCTGGACTCCTTCCACCCCCCTGTTAATGATCAATGTGTCTAGTTAAAAATTTACAGCCCCTCTGACTTGTGGCCACTGGGGCAGGCCTGAGCTGGGCACCCCCAGGGTCAGGGGCAAAGCCTATAGGCCCCAGGGGGCCCTTCTTCCCCCTGAGGAGCAGCTAGAGAAATGCCACAACCCAGTGTCCCTATGGCCAGATGGAGGGCTGCTTCCTGGGGTCCTGACACTAAGTGGAGTCTCCAGCAGGGCCTAGGCCCTCCTCCCACAATTCCCAGCCCTAAAGCAAGAGCTGGGCAGTTTCCACAGCAGTTGCTTTGCAAGGCTGGTGGAGCCGGTTGGCTGAGCTGGTCCTGCCTTGCAGGAGGTGTGGCAAAGCTGAGCAGTAAACTGCCTTGAGGAGCTTCCCCTCCACTGCCCCACTCCCCTGCCAGGCTCCTCCTGCCAGGCAGCCACGTGACAGGCCACACACAGCCCCACAGGACAGCAGGCACCAAGAAGGGGCCCAGGATGAGTGCATCGCCATGCTGATCTGTGCAGGGGCCAAGCCTGGTCCTGGGGATTGGGAAGGGTCAGGAAAAACAGGGTGTCAGGGAAGAAGCAAGAAGGGACCATGGTAGAAATGCAGCAGGGCTGGCTCAGAGGGGCCGACAGGCTCCAAGTTCCCCTCTTACCCAAGCCCACCCTTACCCCAGTCTTTCTTCATTCCTAAATATTTTGGACACAGATGGAAACAAACATCATAAATAGCAAAAACAACTTTTTTATTGCAGTAGTTTGTGGGTGCTTCTGGAGTGGACAGAGGAGTAGCTGAGTCCTTAGTTAGCTCTGGGAGCCATTATGACCCTCTGGCTGCACACAGGGCAGGGGTGGGGCCTGGCTAGGTCAGGGCAGGCATTTACTGAGCTGGCACAGGTTGAGGGGTCTCTCGCCCACTCTCAGAAGGTTCTTCTAGCCCGTTCTGCTCTGAACTTGGCCCAGGATGTTCCAGGGCATGCCGGGTGTCAACCTGCCACAGCTGTACCAGGTCTGTGGGCGTCTTTCCTTCCTGGGGGAACCAGGAGAACATCTTTCACTGTTCAGAACTCTCTACTGGACGGTGCCTTCCTCTACACCAGTGGTTCTTAACTGGGGGCAACTGGAAATGTGTGAAGACATTTTTGGCCATCACAACTGGTGGTGGGGTGGGTACTGCTAGTGGATAGAGTCCAGGGATGCTGCTTAAACATCCTACAGTGCACAGGACAGTCCCCCACAACAAAGAATTATCCAGCCCAAAATATCAATAATGCTGAGGTTGAAAAAACCCTCATCTACACCCTCTCCATATCTTCCTGCTTTTCCCATTATCCCCTGAGCCTTTCTTGAGCCAGAGGGACCCTCCCATAACTCTCTTTTGTGATTGCTCTGAGCAAAAGCAAAGAGCTTGGACTAGGGGACATGGATCCTAAGAAACCTCAGAATCACCAGGAACAAACATGGTGGGCTAGGAATGGTGACACCAACCAAGTGCTTAGGTTCCTTCCAGCTCTGTCCCTCCACAATTTTGGCCTCCTTAGGCCTGCACATTTAGACCCCCTTTGACCTATTTGGGGGCCTTCAGGAAGTCCTCTTCCTGCCCCTCCTGGCTGTTTCTCTGCACTTGTACTCTGGACATAGGCACATACAGAGAAAGTTGGGAAGGTGGGCAGTTGGAATGGTGTTCTGGAAGAGGACAACTTTCTGTACTGTGATGATGGGCCAGAGCCAATGATATGTGTCCCTAGGCTGGGGGCAAGATAGACCTCCACTGCTCAAGTGCTCACACTGATTACTGAATCAGGGAAGGAATGTACTTACCAGGTTTTTGGCCAACATGTCGGCCCCATGCAGGAGCAGCAGTTTGATAATTTTGTAGCGGTTGAGTCTCACAGCATCATGCAGGGCACTGTCCCCTTCCTAGGGCCAGTGTGGCACTCAGCATGGCCCTTACAGGCAGCAGGCAGGGGGGCAGGATGATGGGAGGTGGGCCTGAGGCCCTGCTTAGGAGCCACAGTCCTGAGGGCCCCAGAGGGAAGTTGCGCTCGCCTGCAGGAGCATACAGGCTGCCCATAAAGCCATTGTGGGGCTGAGCAGGGGGGAGGCTGGCACTCACTCTGTCTCTGGCATTGATGTCCATGCCCAGGGTTAGAAAGTGTTCCACGATCTCCACCTGCCCTGTCCGGACCGCTACATGCAGGGGGGTGCTCAGCAGCTGGGTAGGGAGTAAACAGGAACTGTTGGCTGAGGGGGCCTGGACCATGGTCCCCTGAGATAGGAGGCTGTCTTAACTCCAGCTTAATCCCTCTTCCAAATCCTAGTGCCAAGGCCTAAGCCCTGGAGGGACAGGGAATGGTGTACTTTCCCACCATTCTATCCAAAGGTCTAACTCTAAAGTCTTAAATGCCACCTCTTCCAGGAAGCCTACAATGATTCCCCTCTCACCCAGTTCTGAACAACTGTTCACTCCTACATCCTTCTTTTAATAATTATAACAGATGTCATTTATTGAGAAATGACTATGTGATGGGCATGGCAAAAGCTCACAAAACATTAGCCCTATGTTGAAAAAATAATTCATTTACATACATTTTCCCACCTAATCTACATAAGAACTCTGACAGGCATATTACAGATGAGGAACAGAGGCTCAGAGGCTAAATCACTTGTTCAAGGTTACACATGAAGGAGTAAATGAATAGAAGGATGGTGGATGAATAAATGAATTAACAGATAAAAAAATGGATGAATGGATGGATAGATGGATGGAAGAATAGACAGAAGAATGATGAAGGACCACATGAATGAACAAATTCTACATCTTTTGAGTGGTCCCAAAGCCCCCAAGATAGTGTGTCTCTTGTCTACCCCTCTCCTCTGCTCTTCCTGAAGCCATCCCCAGATGGTGGTCTCTCAAGGACCTTCAATTAATGGGAGGAACCCACCCCTGGGCTGGGAGGTCCAGGAGGACACTGCTTTAGCTTCCCTGCTCAGCAACCACTCCAGAAACCAAAGCAGCTCACTACCTTCCTGCCTCCTGGGATTTCTTGCCCTCTGTGTCCCGCTCTCCTCCCCACCCCAATATCTGCTGCGTCTGAGCATTGTCACCTCACCTTATCCCTCACATTTGAGTCTGCTCCTCGGCTTTGCAGGAGTTTTACCACTTCCAAGTGGCCCCCACGGCAGGCCCAATGCATGGCTGTGCAGTCCAGCTAGAAAGGAAGGATGGGGCCTAATTGCAGAGCTGCAGGGAATAAAGTGCCCTGAGGGAAAGGACCCCAGTCAGGAAGGCAGGGGGATATCCAGGGGAAAGGTACAGGGAATGGGTAGAGGCACTCCTGTGCCTCAGCAACAGATCAAGTGGAGCAGAAGAACACTTAGGGCCCAACTAGTCCAAGCCAGATTTACACAATCCACAAGAGGTGGGACCTAGCCCCTGAGCAGCCCGATTATGTCCCAGGTTGGTGGGGAGAGAGGTCTGTTGGTACTGAACCCACCTCTTGCCTTCCACCTAATACCTGCCCTCTTGCTCACCCGATCCTGAAAGTCCACAGTAGCCCCACTCTCCAGAAGCTTCTCCAGGATCTCCAAGTGGCCCTCCAGGGAGGCTCGGTGCAGTGCTGTCCGGTGGAACTGTCCCCAGAGAGGCTGTTAGGGCCTGGTCTCTGGCTCCAGGCCTGAGCCCATCTCTATTCTGACCCCTGTGTGGGCTCCCCATCTCTTCTGTGTTCTGCCAGCTGCTTTATGTTGTATACAGATCAGCCTTGGAGCCTTCTGCCCTGGGGACTGACCTTCTCACTGCCCCCAAGCACATCAAGTCAGGGTGCTCCCTTTGCACAGGCTGTTCCCTCTTCTGGGCCTGCCTGTTTTGCCCTCACTCCCTGTAAGTGCTTGATGAAAATCTGCTACTCCTTCAAGATGCTGCTCAAGTGCCATCATTTCCTTGAAACCTCTAGGCCAGAGCTGCCCTAGGGGCCCAGCCAACCCTTGACTGTGAGAGAGCATTAGATGGCAGGCTGAGTCTTGCTGGACTCTATTTCCCCTGAGTGCCTAGTCCAGGGCCAGGATGAGAAGGCCACACTGATTACTGATCCCAGGAAATAATGAACTTTCTCCCTTCTCAGTGCAGTCTGCTTAATGATTTGGACTCATGAAACACTTGGGCTACAGTGTGTATCTTCCCATATTCTAATGATCTGGTTATGTGTAAATCTCCCCATGACTTTCAACTCTGTTTTTTTTCTTTTTTTGTACTCCCAACACCTAGCACAGGGCTTAAACAAATTGAAAGAATTTTTTTTTTTTTTTTTTTTAAAGATGACCGGGAAGGGGATCTTAACCCTTGACTTGGTGTTGTCAGCACCACCCTCTCCCAAGTGAGCTAACCGGCGTGAGCTAACCGGCCATCCCTATATGGGATCCGAACCCGTGGCCTTGGTGTTGTCAGCACCACCCTCTCCCAAGTGAGCTAACCGGCGTGAGCTAACCGGCCATCCCTATATGGGATCCGAACCCGTGGCCTTGGTGTTGTCAGCACCACACTCTCCCGAGTGAGCCACGGGTCAGTCCCCAAATTGAAAGAATTAAGACCCTGGAGTCTAAAGAACAGAAAGGACATGTGGTCAATGTCTACAATAATTCAGACCAAGGGTGGGTAATAATTAACTTGCTTACTCCCAGGACAGGAAAGCAAGAGAACACCCTAGAAGTGTGAAAGAGGCAGTTTCAGGGAAAACAAAAAGAAGTATGATGGGTGACAGAAAAAAATCTGAAAACAGAGGCGAAAGTTGCATGACACTGTGAATGTAATTAATGGCCTTGAACTGTACACTTAAAAATGGTAGAAATAGCATATTTTATGGTATATTTTACAACAATAAAATAATAAAAATAGTTTTTAAAAGGAAGCACAATATTATACCATGAGAAACAAAAATATCATACCCTAGCACGTGCTTTATAGCTTTTTCATTCATTCAATAAATACTTATTGAGGTGCTAATATTCCATCTGATCACTGTAGCACCTTATGAGGGAGTAGGCCATTTCACAGAGGAGGAAACTGAGACATGGAGAGGTGACCAGCCCAGCCACAGGTCTCACAGCTAGTGAGTGGTGGAGATGGGATTTGAGCCCAAATCTCCTGATCCTGGGCTCTTTTTATTTGATCCCATTCCTCTTTCTTCCCTAAATAAACATGTGACATTTGTTACTCTGGAGGTGATTCAAGATGGAAAAGGGTCTAAAAAGGATTTGGGTAAATTCCCGAGTGGGGAAGGGAGCACTCCCCGTCCCTTCCCAGCCCACCGACCCGTGCCTTTTCTCAGGTGCACCCACAAGCGGGCTGAACCAGGATCGGAGCGGGGTGGGGGTGGCAACTCTGTAAATTCCCGAGTGGGGAAGGGAGCACTCCCCGTCCCTTCCCAGCCCACCGACCCGTGCCTGTTCTCAGGTGCACCCACAAGCGGGCTGAACCAGGATCGGAGCGGGATGGGGGTGGCAACTCCGACAGGAGGCAGGTGCAGGTGTGGGGCGGGGGTGGGGGAGCATCACCTCATCGCAGGTGTCAGCGGAACCCCCGTCAGCCAGGAACTTCTCAATGACCTTCATTTTCCCCTCCACGGCGGCTTTCAGGAACGTCTCCTCCTCCACAGGGCCGGTCTGCAGGGTGCGAATCCAGTCACGCGGGCCCGTCCCCGCCACCCCCTGCCTACACAGGTGTCCTCCCCAGGATCCTTACGATCTCCTCGGGCTCCGGGGGCGGCTCCTGGGAGGCGGCCAGGGCTTCCCGCTTCTTCTGCTTGCGTTTTTTCCGCAGCTCGATGAGGTTCTGGATCCCGCCCACATCGATGATCTCGCGCCGCAGGTCCAGGGACGTCTTGCGCACGCGCTCCTGGCCCTGCGTGGGGACGGCCATCAACCCCCACACTGGGGCACAGAGTTTGTGAGACTTGGAGAACCCCTGAGCTAAAGAGGAGGTGGGGGTGGAGCGGGTAGGGAGACCTTCTCAAGAGAGAAGGAACTCATCAAGACAGAAGGAACCAAAGTCTCACTCTCCTTCCAGGACCAGATGGCTCAGATCGGGGGACTCTGGGGTAGAGATTCTGCACTGCTGACAAGCTGGGCGGGTGAGCTGTGGTCCTAGGGCCACATGAGGAGAGGAGGAGCGAGGCCTTAAATCCCTGGCCCATCCCCTGAGTGCAGACACTGGGTTCTCCCCTACTGACCTTGACCTTTTGTAAAGCCGGGCTCTGAGTCCCCTGATGCTTTTCGTCCTCTAGCACAAGCAGGTTCATGGGCAGCTTCTGGTGGTCGGCTCCTCCGAGTTTCTGGTGAGCCAAGGAGCGCGCCTTCTGTACCACCTGGGGAGGCAGGTAGCCTCTCCCCCAACCTCTCCGAGAACACCCCACAAGGTGGCCTCTGTGTGGCTTCAGGCCCTTCTGGCTGGTCTTTGAGGATACCAGACAAGAGGAGGCAGGGCTCCTGGAGAGGCCCCCAAAAGGGGGCACATTCCACAATTCCCCACCTCAGCATTAACCCCAACCCCAGCTCAAACACCTGCCCACTGACTGCTGTGGGTCCCCAGCAAAACAAAGATTAAAAGCCACTGGAGTCAGTTTTTCATGAAATTAATTATACTCACTTTTTTACACACCAAGTTTTTGTTTGTTTTTACTTTTTTTGGGGGGGGGCATTAAAAATACACTTTGAAATAATTGTAATAAGAGATGATATTTATTTTTTATTTTTTGGATGTCTGCTGATACAGGAATCTGAACCCTTGACCTTGGTGTTATTATAACATTGTGCTCTAACCAACTGAACGAACCTTAGGCCAGCCCTTATAGTTATTTTTTAAATGGCCTTACTTGGCAATATAAAAATTTGCAACTCTATGTCAGACACCAATTTTTTGTCTCAGATTTTACTGCTCTGTGAAATCTACAGCTTAGAAACGATTGCTCTCAGAGAAACGAAGGGATGGGAGCAATAGCTCCTCAGCTTTCAGCCTAAAGTAGACTCTAAGCACTAACATCATTCTCACTGTGATCATGGGTTAAATTCCCTCTCCTCTCCTCTCCTCTCCTCTCCTCTGCATTTGTAGCCATGACTTATCTGGACTACTTCTTCACTCTCTGTGAAGCGCTGGCACTCCCATCTCTGGAGTCCCCGCATGGAGCTTGTGTGGATGTGAGCCCAGGACATTTGCCCAGGTTGTGGGGTGTGGAGTCAAGACAGCAGGTGACAAAGAGCAGCCACCCTTACAGAGCACTCAGCTTCCTTTCTCAGTCCTCACTGAGCTCCAGCGTTAGCCTCTTTGAGGGTGATTTTGAGGGCTGATTTCCCAGGTCTTCATTTTGAAGGTCCTGTTGTCTACTGACTTCTCCCTTTCGTGTCAGGCTCACATGGTTTGGGGTCTCCTCAGTGCTGGTCTCACCTGGAACACTGCATCTTCTTCCAGGGACAAGAGATGACCTGGGGCTGCAGCTACTGCTGTTTGTGGGACTCCGGCTGGGCTCCTCATGGAGCATCCAGAGGGTGGGCTTGTGTCTTAATCATCTTGGTATCCCCAGCATCTATGACAGAGCCTAGCATGTAGTAGGTGCTCAGTGAACGTTTTGGTGAATGAATGAATGGATGGATGGATGAATGAATGATGGCAGGTGGGCTCGGCATCTCTGCCCACCCCTAAGATCTCAGTGATGACCTAACCCAGTAAGCTCCCCACAACAGAGCTCCAGCCCCTGGGCTGGCCTCCAGGGTCCTCCTTCCCCTCCCACACTGGGGAGGGGGTGCTGTCTAGACAGAGGCTTTCCTCTGAGAACCCTGCTAGGCTGGGGCCTGGTGGAAACAGCAGTAGGTATTCTAAGGCCTTACCCAAACTCTATATAGCCCCTCACTTCAGATTTGTCTTTGTGGGCTGGCACACAAGAGGCACTCAATAAATGTTTGTTGAATTGGATGTTAGCTCATGAAACAAAACAAGACTCCTGCCTTACTTCATAGATCGTTGTGCACATTAACTGAGAGAATGCCTGTAAAATGCTTGGCACAGTGCCTGGCATGGAGGAGACACTCAGTGAGAAGGTTGGCTCTGTGGGCACCCAGTGTCCCGACAGCTCTGTAGCTATATTTGTTGGGTGAATGAATTAATAGATGATAACTGCTGTGTGTTCCCTAGGTGAAGGTCTCTGTGTGTCATGGCACACTCCAGAAATGGTGCAGCAGCATGACTCACCTGCTGGCACTCGCCAGCCATGTGCACGTGCCCTTGCGGGAGTGAGAAGTGAGATTCTTGGAGATCCAAGGATGCCCCAGCCACGACTCAGCTAGCTCAGGCCAAGCTCTTCCTTGGCAAACCTCACCTCATCTCTTCTTCCCTTGGAATCCTGATCCTTCCCTCTTCCTCACCCCTCATTCAGTCAGACTTTCCTTTTTGAATGGCATCTCCATGTAAAGGATATATCTCCTCCCTCCAATCCTGTTAGGGCTAACCTTCCCCCTCCAAGTCTTCCGTAGGGCCATCAGAGCCCCCTTCCTAAAATAGGTCAGATGGCATCACTCCCTCACTCAGCAACATTTGGCAGCTCCCCACTTCCCACAGAATACGTGTCTTTTACATGGCCCTCTCTGGTGTGTCCTCTGCCTCCCTTTCCAGCCTTACCCCTCCTACCAGGCTCTCTCGTAATATCCATGCTTTCGCTCATGAAAACTTTAGCTCCTGTCATTGCCTTAGCCTGGAATACTCTCCCCTGTCCTGATGATCTCCACTAACCACTGTTGAAGGCCCAGCTCAAATAGCTCAAATATTTTTTCCACAGAGTGGTGCTTGACGGGCCACAGTCATGACAATTCACCCTCCCTTTGTGCTCCATCACTTCTGATCCACACCTCTGTTTAACCATTCTTCCCTCTGCCTTCTTAGTTGACTAAGCAACTGACCAATGTTGGCTAAAATGAATGCTGGGTTGATAAAAAGGCAGGGTCTGGGCCATATGGTCCTCCCATTGCTCAAAGAACCGGGCTCTTGGCAGAGCAGACACTAGGTCAAGTGTTACTTTAAATACAATGAAGTGTAGGACAAGCCAGCACCCCTCACCCCACATCCTCGTCCCACCCCACTTCCTCAACCAAGAGAAAATGCAATTGCCCAGAGCCCCATGCTTGCCCCAAAGGCCTTCCCAGGTGTGGCTGGCAGTCCCGGGAAAATCCAAACTTCCTTTCCTAGGATCCCTTCCTCACTCTGTTCCCCGTATTTATTCATCTCAGTGACCACATACTGGGCTTCCTCCCATCCCACGCTCCCACCCAGCAGCTGGGAGATCTCAGGGCTGCACATTCCTGACATTCCCAGGCAGCACCCCAGCTGTCTGCCCTGTACACAGACCTGTCTCCTGAAGCCCAGGTGGGTAGGCAGGGTCTGTGCAAGCCCAAATCAGCTCCCCTGCCCCACTGACTCTCAGTTTTGGGGGCTGAAGCCTCAGTCTCCTGCCATCAGCAACCCCCTCTGCCAGGAACACCCTGAATAAGGCCAGCTGGGCCCTTGATGACACCTGTCCCCATCCCCACCACATATGTGGCAGCCAGGCTCTCCCTTCCCTTGACAGCAGAGCTGGATCTCCTCAGAACCCCCTCGGGCCCCCAAGCCCCTGCCCCCACCTTGCTCTCTTCCTCTTGTGCCAGCCGCTGCTCGATGAGCTCCGTGGCCCTCTGCACCGCCTCAGAGTCCTCCGTGGTGCCATCCATAACTGCCTCAGCAGCCCTCTTCACCGCCTCAGAGTCCTCCATGGTGCCAGCCGTAACTGCCCTCGGCAGGCCACCGGGCCTCAGGGGCTTTATAGGCCAGAGCACCCACCCCATCCAGCTGGGCGCCTTTGCCATGAGCTCACCGGCCCAATTCTCCACCTGCCTCTCCCAACCTGTCACCTTCACCTCGGGCAGCCCCAGGCAGCAGGGGGAGCCAGGGACAGGGAGCAGGGACAGTTGCCCCCCCCCAACTCCTGGCCTCTTGGAACCAGAGGGCACAGAGCCCCAAGAGCAGGGCTGCAGGAAAGAGCCTGTCCAGCCTCTGTTCCACGTGCTTGGGCCCAGCTGGGCCATAGCCAGGGCAGCTATGAGGGACCAGCCGGCTGCATGCCCTGCTGGATGACAGCACCACCTGCTGGATGCCGGGAAACCCTGTCCAGCCAGCAACAAACAGCAAGGGTGCCTGAAACCAAACATAGGGACCCAAGACAGGCCTGCACCCCCAGGCTGTCCTGCGAAAAGGCCTTGCTGGCTGTGGGAAGGGGCAGACTGTTTCGTCCAGGCCAGAGTACCAGGGCAATGGTGGGAGTTAAGGGCAGCTGCTTCCCTATCTGATTGGTAGCTTGTGCAAGCCTCTGTCTCTCTGGGGTCCCACAGTGCCCCCCAGCAAAGCATCACTAAGTTGGACAGTGTGTCCATTAGTCATGGACAAACCTTATCTATCTGTCTCCTCCCTCAGCCCCTCAGGGTAAGTCCTCAGTGGGCCTCTGCAGGACTTCTTGCTTCAAGAGAGGGGTCTCAGGAAGCCAGAGTGCGGTGCCACGCCCAGGTGAGAGGAACATCAGCTACGCCTGATCATTCTTCCCTCCTGGGGTTTCCCTATCAGGCCCAGACAGCACCAGGCTACCCTGACCAAAGGCCAGCCATGCTCACTGAGGAAGAAACATACTCCCACCTGGAGAGAAAGCAGACCTTCACTTTTTCAGTTCCACACCTGGGACTTGCAGGATCGAGCCCTGGGTCATGACAACAAAGGTTTAACCTGCTGATAAACCGCAGATGCCCCAGCTCCATGTTTCTGTGACACTCACATGGCCTGCCCTTAGCTAAACAACCTTATCTAAGATCCCTCTCTCTGCAAATATGCACACATTCCCCTAAAGAAGCATGAGGAACCGGTTCCTTTTTCTCTCTGGCTCCCTTGCTGGCAAGCTGACACAAACCTCTGACAAATGCTCATCATCTAAATTTGTCAGAGATTTTGCTTTAACATCACCACGGGCACCGCGTCTCCAGGATTTCCACACACTTCAGTTGTGAGGGCCCGGCCTGTGGGGCTGGAGCCAAAAGGTGGCCCCTCCTGCTGCGGGAGCAGACCAGCAGCAACTAATGCCACCTTCCTGAGGTGCTGCCTTCGCTTTCAAAGCACTTTCACATGTTTCCCCATTTAATCCTCCCAGCAACTGATGGAGGAAGCAGGGCAGGCAGCTCCATCACCACTTTAAAAAAAAGCAAACCGGGTTCAGAGGTTAAGTGGCTTTTCCCGAGGACCCATGAGAACATATCAGGGCCCAGAAGACTGGCAGTGCAAGGCTTGCTCTGCTGTCTGCTCTGCTGTGCCCAGAGCAGCTGGGAAGGCCATGCACCTACCTGCTCCCACACCAGAACTAGCTCCGGGAGTCAAATGCCAGGCAAGAGAGAAGGAGCAAAAGGCTTTATTGATAAATAGGCAGATATGTCTGTACACAGGGACCTGCTGTGGGGGCCATGACCAGGCTGTAAACCCCCCACCACTTGGGTTACACAGCCAGAAGATGGCTCTGTGCAGACCCCTGCCACAATGCCCAGCTGTCGGCCACATGTCTCTCATCTCTGCCAATTGTGCTGGAGGCAGGGAGAGGCAGAGGCCTGCCTCAGGCTTCCTGAGCCCTGGGGCTCACTGGTATCTCCCTCCCCTCCAGGGGACTGGCACTGTGCCCAGGGCAGAGCCAGGGGGTGGGGCAAAGGAGGGGACAGCAGCTGCTTCAGACCCTGAGCAGAAAACCGGAGTGAGCACAGCTGGCAGCACCAGATGACAGATCTGGGCTCCAGAGACCTCTGGGCTGGCCTTCATGGCTTGAACCTGCTGTGGGAGAGAGGCCTTTTCTCTGACATGGTTGGCAAGGCCTGTGTGTGGCAGCACTGCTTCCTGGGTGCTGGGCACTGGAGGCCCACAGTGCCCCAGGAGGCAGGGTACTTCATGGCCCACCCAGCAGCCATACACCAGGGAAGTGCCCCTGATGAAAGAAACAGCACTCAAAGGCAGCAGCTGGGTGGGGGCCTAGCACTCCAGGGGGCCTCTCTGCCCTGCAGAGGCCCTCCATGGACTCTCTTCCCAGGCATCCGTGGGCCCGTCAGTCCTGGGGTGGTGGGGGCTGGTTGATGATGACCTGGATGACAAAATCTTTCTGGATCTTGGTTTCCTGGAGCCGTGTGCGGTCTGTGAGCAGCTTCCCAGAGAAGAACCATCGCTGCCAGGACGGCTCAATGCCCTCCTGGGCATGCAGCTGCCGCTTGAGCTGGCCCACTGTGTCGGGCAGGCTGGCGCTGAGCCTCACGTCCTTGCCTGTGGAGAGGCGCACCTTCAGTGGAAACTCACGGCGCACGCTAGGGGTGGGCTCGGGGGGCTCCAGGCTCTCCTCCTCCATGTGCTCCAGCAGCAGGTTCACAGGCGGCGACAGGCAGTAGATGGGTAGCTGGTAGCGGTTGCCCAGCTCATCATAGCATTCGCAGAGGGTGCCTGGGGGAGAGCAAGGCCGTCAGAGTTGGCCTGGGGACCTGCTGTCATGGACTGAATATCTATGTCCCCAAACACTCATATATTGAAACCTGAATCCCTAGTGTGACTGTATTTGGAGAAGGGGCCTATTTGGAAGTAATTAAAGATAAATAAGGTCATAAGGGTGGGGTTATTATCTGATAGGATTGCAGTCCTTATAAGAAGGGACACCAGAGAGCACGTGTGTGTGCACGTGTGCATTCTCTCTCTCTCTCTCTCTCCTCTCTCTCGTCCCGTCATGTCAGGGAGAACACAGCAAGGCAGCAGCCAGCACCGTGACCTTGGACTTCCCAGCCTCCAGAAGTGTGAGAATCAAATCTCTGTTGTTTAAGGCACCCAGTCTGTGGTATTGTTATGGCAGCTCAGACAGACTAACACACCTACCATGGCCACACTGCAGCCAGGTCTCCCCGGGCCGGCATCCTGGCTCACTCAGCACTGGCACATTATGTGACTTTTCATTTCTTCATTCAGTAACTCTTTCCCGAGCACATGTGCCGGGTGCTGGGGTCACAGGATGAACGAAACAGCACAGGCCCTGCTCTTCATAGGCCTCCATTTCCTTAATGGTATAATGTAGTGCACACAGAAATGTATTTACTGTGTCCTGAACACCTACTAAGTGCTGGGACTAGACTAACCGATGTTAGGTGTAACTTGTTGAATCCTAACAATCATCTCCCCTTTACAGAGGGAAGGCCCTCAGGCTCTAAATTCAAGAAGCGCCTTGCTCAAGGTCACACAGCTAGGAAAGGGAAACATTTGAGTTAAAACCGAGGTCTGAGACTCCAGAATTCCTGTTACCCTCTGCTTTACATGGCCCCATAAGGCTGCTATGAACTTTAGTGAGATAATGAGTGGAAGGTACTAGTTCAGTGCCCAGCACATGATAACCCACAGAAGGTCAGAACCTCAGACGTTCTGGGACCACCCTGAGCAAGCCCCTTGAGCAAGTCTTAGCTTGCATTCATCACACTGCACTGCAGATTTGTTGGTGTCTTCCGTTCCCTCATTAGGCAAGCACGGACTGCATCTCCTTCTTTGCGACCTCACGGCCCGGTCCTTGCTCAGTAAGCGTTACTTGAATGAACAAGTGAATAGCTCCACCCACCCCCACCCATCCACCCCCACCCCCAGCTTGGGTGGAAACTCTTGACACATAGCTGGCCACCAGCTTTCCTCCACCCCCGCAATGTACTAGCAACCCCCCAGCTCCAGCGGGGATGAGGGCCTGCCCTGCCCACGCACCGTGAGGCAGGGTGATGCTGGCTCCATCCAGGATGGCCTGAGCCAGCTCGTGGTCGTTAGCCTCAGCAGCGTAGGCGGCAGCCTTGAGGGCATCCCAGATCTCCTTGCGGCCCTCAAAAGCTGGTGCGGTGTCCCAGAACTCATCCCGTTTGCTCCGCAGCTGCCCATCGGTCATGGGGTAGTCACTCTTCCACTTGAGCCGCTCCTTCTTCAGGGGCTCATTGCGTCCTGTGCAGGGAAGAGGGAGAGGCTCAGTGTCCTAAAGCCATTCGAGCTGCATGCTGCCCCTCCCCTGCCCCTCACCACCCTGGGTCAGGCCCTGGCCTGTGCTGCACCCTGCCACCAGCTCCTGAGTATTTAGGTCTCTGGGGCCCTTTCTCAATAGAACGGAGGAGTCTGGAAACTCCACATACCCAACCTAGGGGCAAAAAATAACTATCAGCAGAGCATCCACTGCCTTTGTTTTTGTTGTTTTAACTCTACTCTTTGATTATAAAGTAGTACATATTCAGTATAAAAAAAATCTGGAAAGAATGTAGATGTGTGAAAATGATAACTGCCACGACTTTATGGAGCCGACTTGTGCCAGATCACAGGCTAGGCACTTGAGGCTCGTTATCCATTTGAGCCTCAAAACAACCCAACAGATGGGGAAACTAAGACCCAAAGAGTTTGTCATTTGTCTGAGACCACACAGGCACCAACTTAACACAAGACTCTGACTCCCAAGCTCACCCTCTATTAGCTGTCTGTACCATGCTGCCATTGGGGAAAAAATTACTCAGAATTCCACTATTCAGAAGTAACCACTGTTAACTCCTAACCATGTTTCATTCCAGCTTCCTTTCTGCCATTTTTCTCAATATAGTTGAGTTCATATTATTTCTATTTTTTTTATTTTTGGCAGTTGGCCAGTTCAGGGATCCGAACCCTTGACCTTGGTGTTACAATACCACATTCTAATCAACTGAGCTAACTGGCCAGCCTGAGTTCACATTATTAATTTCTTTATATCCCTTGATCCAGAAAGGACTTAAGATCTTTTCATGCTAATATACAACTTTCTGTTTATTTCACATTTATATTACCATCAATTTCCCATATGATTAAAAATTATAAACAATGTTAATGTCTTGTCACTAATGTTCTACCATATATAGTAACAAAAAATATTTAAACAAATCTGTCAAATGTCATTTTATTTTTTGTTACGCAGCTCCAAGTGACCTCTAATACAACTCCAGACCACAGTCAAGACTGAGGGCAGAGGTGTTTCTTAAAGACTGGTGCAGGGCCGGCCCGGTGGCGCACTAGATAGTGCGCCGCTTGGGAAGCGCAGCGGCGCTCCCGCCCGAGGGTTCGGATCCCACATACAGACCGGTTCCCGCTCACTGGCTGAGCGAGGCGCGGGAGCGACACCAAGGGTTGCAATCCCATTGCCGGTCCCCGGTGCGGTACAGGGGCAACACTGAGGGTTGCGATCCGTTGCCGGACACGGAAAAAGACAAAAGACAAAAAAAAAAAAAAAAAGACTGGTGCAGACTCAGTCATCTCAAAGCTGAAGGCAGAGTGATTGACAGGAGGGAGGTCTAAAACACTCTGCTTCCACTGTAACTCAGATCCTACAAGTGAGAGGCAGAACTAAAGCTGGGGCTGGCACCAGGCAGCTCAGGGGAAGAGAATGGCATTCCCCGACCACTAACTGTGTGAAAGAATCCCATGTAAGCACTTTATTTATATACATTATCCCATTTCATCCTTGCAATAGCCTTAGGTGGTAGGTATTATTATCGGTATTTCACAGATGGCAGGACAGATTAAATGACTTGCCTGAGGTCACACAGTAAGTGACAGAGTGAGGGCTCCACCTCAGATCTGGCTGAATCCTGTGGTTTTGCTGTCTGAATTCACAGCTACCTGCGTGGGCAGAAATCCTAAAGCTGAACGTTTAATTTAAAGTGTTCCTGGGTTGGCAGAAGGAAATGCAAATTGTCTTCGGAGGAAAACAACTTCAAACTAAGCCTCAAAGAATTCTCAAGATAAAGTTCCAAGGAAAATAAATAATAAGGTCATAATTAAAAAACACAAGATGCAAGGAAATAAGGCAATATGAGCCCAGCAAAATCAGCAGACAGAAGAATCAGACATCCAGAGACTTTGGAATGGGATTTATCAGACACAGATTATGAAACACTGAGTTTAAGAAATAAGAAAGCCTTAAAAATATAAATAAGGAATAAGAGATTATAAAGAATGACCAAGCAGATTTTAAAAGAATCATATAGGACTTTTAGAAATGAAAAATATAATAATTGAAATTCAGGTGGTCTAACATTTTTAATCAGAATTTCTAGAAAGATACAATAGGAAGAATGGGGATGAAGCTATATTCAAAGAAATCATAAAGATGTCCATTCTCCCCTAATCTATAAATTTAATGTAATTCCAATAAAATTCCTAAGTGGAAGTTTTTTCCTCCAAGGAACCTGGCAAGCTGATTATAAAATTTATGTAAAAGAACAAAGATACTCCTAAAGAGAAACAAGGTGGGAGAACTTCACTGCCATTATTAATACTAATTATCAAGCTATTGTCAGCACAGTACTGGAACAGGGACAGACAAATGAGCCAACAGAATAGACAGTCCAGAAATAGACCCAGGCATATACAGAAACTTGCTTAAAGCAAGAAAGAGCATTGCTGATGGGGGGGTGAAGGGGTGGGAGTGGTGTTGGGACTACAGGTTCTCTATATAGAAAAACGTGAAACAGAATCCCTACCTCACACCCAGCCATGAAAAAAAAAAAAAAAACCCCACATCAATCAAAGGCTTGAATATCAAAGGCAGAAAGGAAGCACTGAAGAAATAGAAAATTAAAATTTTGTCCATGTGACTTTTTGTGAAGTTTGGCCTGGAGGTGTTTTTGCCTTGACCAGGGAAATAGCTCTGCTTCATGATTTCTGGACTCCTTTTCTCTTTGATTCCTTAGCACTGATGGATCCCTGATAAGAGCTTTGATCCATCAGGAGTCACAGTCATGCACTGACACCCTCAGGGGCCCCTCCAGTGTGGGACTTCTGCCCCTCCACTCTATGACTTTTTTAACTTCAGTGGCTTTTTAACTTCTTGAGCTGATTTCTATAGTTTTCCTGCCACCTTCCCCTTTGCCAGATGTCACTTCTTAGTCTATCTGCTGCTCCTAGCATGGGTAGAGCTCAGGTCCAGCTAAGGGACCACCCTTAGCTGAAGGTTAAAAAAGGACACAACCATGTTGTCAGCATTGGCTAAGACAGAGGCTTCTTATAGAAGAAAGAGAGTAGGCTTCAGGGCATTTAAAAATGTTCACCTGTTGGCTCTGTTCCCAACAACTGAGGTTGCTGAGCTGTGACCCCAAGGACACCTGAGCTGTAACTACGTACATGCATCTCACTCTCTCGAGGACTAAAGGACTGCTCTTAAAATAAACACAGCCCCATGGTGGGCCCTTTCAAAGTCATCACCTCAGGAGGCCATGCACCCTCTCAAGTTCCTCTTGACACAGCCGTCAGGGTTACCTCCACCTCCACACAGACAGCAGCTAGCTTTCCTGTTATTTACACACTTCTCGCCACTGTGAGTGAGCATCTCCAAGTATTAACAGCATCTGCAGAGACTGAGGACATGATGGTTTAAAAAATCCTCACCCTCCATGCAGGGCCTTTTTGGCTGAAAATATTAGAATGTAATGGTGGTGGGCAGGGGGCAGGCAGAGCTAATGTAAAGCAAAGAACAGCAGCAGGAGCCTATTTCCTTCCTGGCTGTCATTGCACTTCTGAGCCAGCAGAGGGCAGCCACAGCACCTAGGGGCCGGTGTCGACTTGCTGCATCAGTGGGTCAAACGCAGCAGAAATATCCAAGGAAGTTCTCCAGGTCCAAAGCGGGGCATGTATGAGACATGCCCAAACATGTGGAACCCTGCACACAGGTGTTTACAATCTTAGACATAGATAAATACAAAAACAGAAAAGGAAGCTTTTCGTCTAAGCATATAAGCAAATTGATGGTGAACATTTTAATTTCACTTACTTTAAAAAAAGATATTTTATAGTTTAGGTACAAACTTCCTGGAAGACATTTTGTATGGTACTGAAAAATTTACACACGTTTGGCTCAACTATTTGTTTTCTAAGAATTTATTCTAAGAAAATACAAGCATGCAGCAGAGACTTATCTACAAAGCTGTTTAACTCAGCACCGTTTTAACAGGGTAAAGCTAGAAACAATGTAAATGCACACCACCAGAAGAAAGGCTAAATAAAATCCATACAAAGCATTGGTGGGAGCCATTCTGTGACAGCATGGAAAAATGCTGAGTAACACGGGAAAATGTCCACAGTACAGTGAAAAAAAGTCCAGAACAGCAAGTGCTCTGTGCTGCAGCTTCTAAAAAGTAGTATGTTAATCACATGTACTAAAAAGACTGGAAAGCCCAAAACGTTAATAGTGGTTATATGTGATTGGCAATTATCAATTATTTCTTTGTGGGGGGGTAGGGGGGCAGTTTATATCTTCCAAGTTTTCTACAATAAGAATTTATTACTTTAGTAATAAGAATAATAAATACAATGAAAGTTGTTAATAGGGAAAGAGGAGACATGGAGTTCTGTGGAGCAGGCATGAAAAGGAGGAAGAGTTTGGGGAGCCAAGTGAGGGAATTTGAGGGTGGTGGTAACCTGGGAAGGCCAAAGCCCTCGGCCTCTAGGGTTTCAGTTGCAGACAGTTCTTGGTGGCTTCGTCCAGGGCCAGGGGCAGGCTCTACTGGTTTCAGCAGCAGGAGCATCTAAGTGGCTTCTACTTAGGTCTCCACCTGTCCTAGATAAGCTTCAGGTCAAAGACAGTAACAAATGGTCCCTGTCCTTAATGAAATTGATTAAAGGGACATTTAAAAAACAATAAAAGATCATCTGTAATTAAGGTATATAACCTGCATGGAGAGGCAATAGGGCAGAATACCCAAAGAAATCATAGGTTTCTGTGCAGAGAACATATGTGCCTAAGCACACAGGCAAAAGCGGGGATCTCAAAGAGTTGTCCAGAACACCTCCTGTATTAGGATCTCCTGGGGTGCTGGTTAAGAAGGCAGATTCACAGGGTCCACCTCAGACCCACTATCAGACTCACAGGGGCTGGGCTGGGATTCTGATTTAAGAACCTATTTACAAGTTTATTTCTTTCATGTGATAGGAGA